AGCTGGGGAGCCGCGGACGCGGGGTGCCGAGGACTTTGCAACTTGCCCAGGAAGGTGGAGGGGTGGGAGGGGGAGGGGGACCTCCGCAAGAGACCGAGCGGCCCGGGCTGGAGCGCCCAGCCCCGCAGCGGATCATGGTGCAGCAGGCGGAGAGCTTGGAAGCGGAGAGCAACCTGCCCCGGGAGGCGCTGGACACGGAGGAGGGCGAATTCATGGCTTGCAGCCCGGTGGCCCTGGACGAGAGCGACCCGGACTGGTGCAAGACCGCGTCGGGCCACATCAAGCGGCCGATGAACGCGTTCATGGTGTGGTCCAAGATCGAGCGCAGGAAGATCATGGAACAGTCTCCGGACATGCACAACGCCGAGATCTCCAAGAGGCTGGGCAAGCGGTGGAAAATGCTGAAGGACAGCGAGAAGATCCCGTTCATCCGGGAGGCGGAGCGGCTGCGGCTTAAGCACATGGCCGACTACCCCGACTACAAGTACCGGCCCCGGAAAAAGCCCAAAATGGACCCCTCGGCCAAGCCCAGCGCCAGCCAGAGCCCGGAGAAGAGCGCGGCGGGCGCGGCACAGCGCCGGCGAGCAGCAGCTGGGCGGCGGCGCGGCGGCCGGGAACCTGTCCCTGTCGCTGGTGGATAAGGATTTGGATTCGTTCAGCGAGGGCAGCCTGGGCTCCCACTTCGAGTTCCCCGACTACTGCACGCCCGAGCTGAGCGAGATGATCGCGGGGGACTGGCTGGAGGCGAACTTCTCCGACCTGGTGTTCACGTATTGAAGGAGGCGCCCCGCTTCCCGCTCCTCGGCTCGGCGGGTGCAGAGCAGGGCGCCTTGGGAGGAAGTCGCGATGATGGTGGAGGTGGTGGTGGAAGGGCGGAGGGGAGAGAAGACGCTGATGATGTTGATAAGATGAAGCAAAGAAATTGGAAAAGATGATGAAAATTTTGGAGTTAAAGTGAAATGAGTAGTTTCGAAGCATTTTTCCTGTCTTTTTTTTTTTTTTTTTTTTTTTTTGCAAAGGCTAGGACTAACACTAATACAGTGTTAAATAGATGTGGGTACAATGGGCATCCTTGCCTTGTACCTGACCTTAGTGGGAAGGAGTTCAGTATTTCACAATTAAGTATGATGTTGTAGATATTTTTGTAGATGCTCTTTATCAGATTAAGGACATTCTTTTCTCTTCCTAGTTTGCTGAGTTTTTGTCATGACAGATGTTGCATTTTATCCAGTTCTTTTTTCCCCATCTTTTGTATTGCACAGTTTTTCTCCTTTATTCTGTAAATATGGTGAATTACTTTGATTTTCAAATGTTAAATCAGCCTTGCGTTCCTGGACTAAACTTTACTTGGTCATGATGTATTATTATTTTAGTATATTGCTAACTTTTATTTGATACTATGTTATTAAGAATATTGGCATCCATGATATTAAAGGACACTGTACTTTTCTTTATTTGTAATGTGTCTGTCAGGTTTTGGTATTAGGATCATGCTGGCCTGATAAAACAAGCTGGAAATGGTTTCTCTTCTATATTTCAAGAATTTGTGTAGCATCACTGCTGTTTTTTTCCTTAAATGCTTGATAAAATTCACTAGTGAAATCATATGCCTGGGGTTTTATTTGTGGGGTGCTCTGTAACAATTTTTTCAGTATATAAAGTTATTCAGATTTTGTTTTACCGCGTGTCAATTTATTTTTCCAGGAATGAAGTCTGGAAGACGTCTGCAGAGGACCCTTTTGGCAGCACAACTGTTACTCTAGGGAGTTGGTGGAGTTTTTTCGTTTTTGTTTTTGTTTTTGTTTTCCTTAAGAGATCTTAAAGAACTGGTGTTTTTTTTTGTTTTTTTTTTTTTAACAAAAACAAGAAAAGGGACCATTGCAACTTTTTTATTTTATTATTTTTTTGGAGGGAGAAAACTGATGTCTTCTATGCATCCGATACTTAACAAAACTGCAGGGAGCTTGAAAAAATGCAGACTGTACAAACGCTTACAAAAAAAAAAAAAACACAAAAAACTGTGAACTGACTTAAGATCAGAGTTTACTTTTCAGATCAAATTGTTTATGGTTTTACAAATGTGATTTCTACTTGCCAACTTTTTTTTTTTGTAACTTGTTCCCTTATACCTCCTTGATTGAATACCAGACAGCCTAGACCTCAGTACAAAAGGTATTGAAACATTTTTGATACATAACAGACCTCAGTCTTTTTTAAAAATTAATATATTTTCAGGCGTATTTTTGTACAGTGAAAAGGGAACATTCTTGCTGTGTTTTTTCAGTGAGACTTTCAGGCACTTCTTCCCTTTTGGTTTCTTTTTTCCTGTTTTTTAGCATGCAAGTATGTTGGTACGTTACGTCCTGGTTTAAAAAGGATTAAAATTTTAAAATAATCCTTGCATCTAAAGGCCTTGTGGTTTAAAAAAAAAAAGCAAACTTTTTTTGTACAGCTATAGTAGAGATTTGTTCAATATTTGTAGGTAAAGATTTATTGAAAATGGTGATATAGACCTCAGAGCTGTTATCTTAGTTTAAAGATTGTATATGTACTGTACTATAGTAGGACTTTATGTATCTCATACGCTGTGATATGTGGATGGGGCCCCAGATGGAAGGTTTGAAACTGGATTCTCGATTTTTAGCAAAAAAGAAAAAAAAAAGGCACATAGTTTAAAAAGTTTCTCATTTTGTGCAATATAATCTAAATAAAGAACAGACCATCTGCATATTTTGTAGCAAATGGTGGCAAAGCAGACTCAATGCACTGTCGACATCATTGCCTGTTTTTTTTTGTTGTTGTTGTTGTTGTTTTTGTTTGTTTTGTTTCTGGTTTTTTTTTTTTTTTTGTGCTGGAAGTCTGTATCTTGACAATTTTAATAAATCAGCTGGAACTGATAGAAACTTGCATCGCCAATAGTCTCTATGGAAGTCATACTGGAGGTCCTGTTGTCGCAGCGCATTCGGTGGTGAGGCCCTTGTGTGTGGATGGGGGGTGGCGGACGATAATTCTACATTTAGGGGCTGAAAAGTGTTCAATTGCAATTGGCAGGCAGATCTTTTTCCTCTTCCGCTCGTTGTGAAAGGCAGGGGAAGAGTGATGTTTTCGCTCTGCCTTCCCTTCCCTGCCCCCACCCCTCCCATTTCCTTTCTCACCTCCTTCTCTGTTCCCTGACGCTTCACCCCACCCATCCTGGCAGGCCGGCGGGCGGCGCGGACGGGCTCCGGGAGCTGGCCGGGGTGGTCGTGCCGAGGACAGGATGGCCAGGTCGCGCGGTCAGGGTCCTGAGCTGGCGGTGGCGCGTGCGTTCTCTGCGCCGAGCCGCGTACGGCTGTGCGTTGCGGTGACAGCCGCCCCCGGGCCGCGAGAGCGTGGGGCGCTGTGATCCCCGCCGCTCCCCCTCCGAGGGTGGGGACGACCGTTTCCAGTTTTGAATTTTTTTTTTTTTTTTAGACGCTGCATCACCGCGTGTGTGCGGAGGTTGTTCGGAGAGCTGGCGGGGAACGCGGTCACAGTTTTTGACCTCTAGGGGTGACTGGGCAAGGGGAGGGAAGACAGTGGAGAAGTTTTCGGTGTCTATGTCTCCACAGTCCCCCGGGGCCGTGGAACTGTCGCAGGAGTGGGCCCCAGCTGGGGGATGGAAGAAGGCTCCCGGCCGGAGGGAGCGCGGTTCACGGCGGGACCTAGATTGCGAGTAGGCGGGAAGCTGGGAAAGAGGACGCGGCGGGGTGGCCGAAGACAACCGGAGGAACACGGCAGGGCCACTAAGCGAGCCGAGCCGTGGCCTCCAGGGTGGCCGTGTGGGCCGATCCGGTGTGGGTGCGGCGAGGAGGGGCGAGGGCGCCTGGGCGCACCCCGCCGCAGACCCTGGAGGCGCGTGGGGACAATCGCGCTGCTGCCCTGGGACCGCGAGGTGGGGGGTGGGGGGAAGCCGCCGAACTACGGGGCTATAGCGTGAGAGCAAGCCCGGGAGGAGGTGCCTTAAGCACCCACCCGCGCCGGACCCTCCCCGCGCGCCAGCTCTTGGGCTGCCCCGAACCAACTCCCCTGCGGGCCGCCACAGAACTAGGTGGCTCCGCGTCTTGATTGTTCTCCGACTGTCTCCTTGGGGCTGGGGCAGTGGTGGCGGCTCGAGCACGACCCGTCGCGCGCGCGCTCTCTGCTCGCCGGGGACCATCGGCTCATCCAGTCCGGCCCCTGGCGTTTGCTCAGCCTCGGCCTGTGTCCCCGCGCCCTCACGGCAGGCCCTGGCTGCGGGCGCGGCTGGGCACGCGCGCCCCGGGCTGCGCCCCTCCCGCGCCTTCACCGCCTCTCCCCTGCGGGCCGCACGGGGTGGGGAGGCGGGGAGACCGCGGGGAGGCCCTTGGGGGCGCCTGGCACCAGCCGTGGAGCTCGGCTCCTCCGAGCTGTGGCGCCTGCCAGGAGGTGGTTTTCAGTGGCTAATGGAAACGGTGCAAAATCACCACGACTCTTTAACCTCCTGAAATGATTTACCCAGGCTTGGCCTTCCATTTTTACTGAGATTTGGCGAGACTCAATGGGAAGGTCTTCACGGTAACAGGAGCTGCTAGGCCAAAGGGGCCCCCTCGCCCTTCCTGCCTCTCCGCCCCCAGCGGCGAGCCCCGGCCTCCCCTACCCCAGCCTCCAGCTGGGAGCGAGCCTCCACCCCAGCCCCCACCCCTGGGATGTGAAGCCAGCCAGATTGGCTGCAGATGGACAGACTGCTTTTCTGTGGCTTTTTCCTCTCGATGAACCATCAGATTTCAGTAGTACACTTGGGAAGAGAAAGGGTGTTAACAATGTCCTCAGTATAGAACTGGATTTCTGTTGTTTACCGTCCCTCCAACCCTCCCGTCCCCCCTCGCCCACTCCCACCCCCTAAATTGGTGGGACATTTATTTTAGCCACGAATAATTGAACCAGCGGTTTACAATTGACAGTTTCTCTGAGCTGGCGATTTTACGTGGCGGCCCTCAGCTGCAGTTCAAAAACTTGCTGCAACACAGACCCATGTGTGAGGCTGATTCCATATATTTCGAAAATCTGAAAACTTTGCATGTATTTTATATTTTAACCATAGATGAATCTTGGATATTTTCTGTGGTGAGGTAGAAACTTTTAAGTAGATTAGTAACCTGTAATAATTTGGCCTTGGGTTGAAAACAGGTAGTCGTGATTTTTTTTTTTTTTTTTTTTTTCTATATGGCCTAAGTTCTTGATAGAAGAGCTATATGGCCTAAGTTCTTGATAGAAACACAAGACAAAAGTAGTTAGTTGGCAATCTGAGTTATAAACCTGTTAGAACTCAGGATAGGTGCTTAAATGCATTTTTAACAATACTTAAGGCTATTTTGGTGAATGCATCGTGAAAATCATTCCTAGTGAATTCTTTATTGAATGTCTAAAACATAATATAATACACAAGGAATTCTTGCCACTGGATAGTCTTCAATAAAATTGTACTTGCTTTTTTTTTTTTTTTTTTTTTTTTTTGGTCTATTAAGGATGTCTTGTTTTTAACTAAGCATTGACAGAATATCTTAAAATAGTAACGTGGGGTGGGGTTTGGGGGTGGTGGGTGCACACAAAGCCTAGCCAGTGGATATCCTGCTGTCTGTAACTAGTTCACAGACTTTGGCATTTTGCTACGATTTCCATCCTTAATAACTTGAACCAGCATTCTCTTAATGATTCTTTAAACTGTGGAAATAATTTCCAGTTTTTACACTCTGATATGCATCCCTTTTATTTAAAAAAAAAAAAAAAAGCTAATAAAA